GCCCGCCATTTCCAGATAAGGAGCCTGGGTCTTGGACAGATTCACAAGTGAACATGAAAAGCCAATTGATAAATTTAAGTCCTGCTCAGGTCTGCTTCGTAGTGGTCTCCATCACCTCATAAGACTGCTTTCATTGTGTCCTGTAAGTTCTGGTATGTTGTATTATCATTATCCTGTGATTGTAGAAACTGTTTAATTTTTTCTTTAATTTCACCAGTGACCCATTGGTTGTTCAGGAGGGTGTCAGTTAATTTCCATGTGTTTATAGAGTGTTTGTAGTTTCTGTTGCCATTGATTTAAAGTTGTACTATGGTCAGATAATATGTATGGGATAATTTCATTTCCTCTGCATTTACTTAAGTATGTTTATGGGCTAGCCTGTGGTCTATTTTGGGGAATATCCTATGTTCATCTGAAAAGAATGTGTATTCTGATTTTGTAGGGTGAAACACTCTGTAGACATCTACTAAGCCTATTTGTTCAAAAGTTTGGTTCAGTTCTAATATTTCATGTTTGTTTGTTTTTTTTTTTTTGTCTAGTTGATCTATTTGTGACAGTGGGGTATTGAGATTCCCCAGTACAACTATAATAGTATCTGTTTGATTTTTCATGTCTATTAATATTTGTTTTATACAGTTGGGTGTACTGTTATTTGTTGCATATATGCTTATGATTGTTATCTTTTCCTCTTGGATTATTCCCTTTACAAGGATGCAGTGACCTTCTTTTTGTCTCTTAATCAGTCTTGGCTTGAAACACACTTTGTCTGCAAATAAAATAGCTACCCCTGCTTTTTTCTGGGTTCCTGTCAGGTGAAATATTGTTTTCCATCCTTTAACTTTCAGTCTATGAATTTCTTTTTGAATTAAATGTTTTGTGTATGTAGCATGTTGTTGGACCTTACTTCTAATCCATTCTGCCAGTCTGTTTTGTTTGTTTATTTTTGAGACAGGGCCTCACTATGTAGTTCAGGCTGTCCTTGAATTCACTATGTATTCCAGACTGGCCTTGAACTTGGAGCAATCCTCCTGCCTCACCCTCCCAAGTGCTGGGATTACAGGCACATGCCACCATGACTGATCAGTCTATTTCTTTTGATTGGTGAATTGAGACCATTAATGTTGATGGTTATAACTGATATGTATTGCCTTATTCTTGTCATGTTATTTTCCTGTTGTTGACTCCCTTTT